AGCATCCAAAACTTCCCGCATGCTGAGCCAAGGACTCCCATCCACCGACACCACCAGCAGCTTCCCACCAGCAGCCAAACTGAGCATGGACAGGAGCAGAACCAGCATTGCTGTGACTTGAGGATGACCACTAAGCACAGGGGCCATTTCTGCAGGAATCTGGAGAATGCTGCCCAGAAAGAAAACCACTGGTGGCACTGAAGCAACAGCACCAGCTCTGCGCTTTTAAGCAATCTGTGCTACAGCATAACTTTTGATCCTTAAGGTATTTGCTGTGTGGTAAATATATAATCACTGATTTGATAAAAGGCGACACAAAAAGTACTAAGTTCAGTTAACTTCACAGGCTGGTGGTGTGTGGTTTATACACTGGATAACCCCCATCTGTCTCTATTAGAGGAACAGTAAGGAGTGTCCCAGGTAGGAGGCAGGGGTGGTTCTGGGTGGGACAGCACTTCTGATAGCCTCCCCCTGGCAGAACCTTTTGCAAGTGCAGGAGATATTTCAAATCCACATCACTGTTCAATTTAGCAGAGGCTGGTCCTTTCCCCCTGGGCAAAACCTGTCTCATCTCTCTCTCTCTTTGAACACTCATCTCTAGGAGAATTATGACCCCATAGCAGATGTGGAAGAGGTGTTTAAGATGGTTTCTAGACTGAGAAGACTGATGAAGATGGAAGTATGATGCCAGATTTGTCCGCAGGATGCATCGCCGAAACTAAGTGGTACTTCCAGTGCCTAAGACCTGCCTCAGGGGATGGAAGAATTATCCTTGTGAGTCTAGAAGGCCAAGCAGAGATCACAGAATCACAGAATCACAGAGTGTTAGGAGTTGGAAGGAACCTCGAAAGATCATCTAGTCCAACCCCCCTGCCAGAGCAGGACCACCTAGATTAGATCACACAGGAACGCATCCAGGTGGATTTTGAATGTCTCCAGAGAAGGAGACCCCACAACCTCTCTGGGCAGCCTGTTCCAGTGCTCTGTCACCCTCCCAGTGAAAAAGTTTTTCCTTATGTTAATGTGGAACCTCCTATGCTCCAGCTTGCACCCATTGCCCCTTGTCCTGTCATTGTCCATCACTGAGAAGAGCCCGGTTCTATCCTCCTGGCACTCACCCTTTACGTATTTATACACATTAATGAGGTCACCCCTCAGTCTCCTCTTCTCCAAGCTAAAGAGACCCAGCTCCCTCAGCCTTTCATCGTAAGGGAGATGTTCCACCCCCTTAATCACCTTTGTGGCTCTGTGCCAGACTCTTTCAAGCAGTTCCCTGTCCTTTTTGAACTGAGCCCAGAACTGGACGCAATATTCCAGATGCTGTCTCACCAGGGCAGAGTAGGCGGGGAGGAGAACCTCCCTCGACCTACTGACCACAACCCTTCTAATACACCCCAGGATGCCATTTGCCTTCTTGGCCACCAGGGCACATCGCTGGCTCATGGTCATCCTGCTGTCCAACAGGACCCCCAGGTCCTTTCCCCCACGCTACTGTCTAACAGCTCAGTCCCCAACCTATACTGGTACATGGGGTTATTCTTTCCCGGATACAAGACTCTACACTTACCCTTGTTGTATTTCATTAAATTTCTGCCCGCCCAGCTCTCCAGCCTGTCCAGGTCTCACTGAATGGCACCACAGCCTTCTGGTGTGTCAGCCACTCCTCCCAGTTTTGTGTCATCAGCAAACTTGCTGACAGTGCATTCTATTCCCTCATGCACGTCATTGATGAATATATTGAATAGTACTGGTCCCAGATGTATGAACACTCTCTGAGGGGGACTTCCCATGAAAGAATTCAGGGCCTAATTCTGGCTGCTTTTGTCACGGGCAAATCTTGCATGATGTCCAGCAGCAGTGGAGTTGCCTGAATGCTCAGGTAGCAAATTACAGTGTGCATGAGGATGTCTGTAAGATGCCACAGCCACCTCCACCACTTAGAAATGTGTGGAATTGACACACAGACTTCGTGACATCACCCCATGGTGCACAAGTCCTAAATAATATGACTGAAGAGAAAGCCAGGGCACCAAAAAGAATAGCTCAACTCTTCAGGCTCTCCCCCAGTGCAGCAGAGGAGGCTCTCCACTAAGAACTGTGCACATTGCCATCTTCTACATCCGAGGCACCCAAAGCACATGCCACATCTGAGAGTTTAGCATAATCACCAAGGCTGCATCCGTCCCCTGAGTGCTAGTCATCCTGCATGCTGTACTGGATGTGTCAAATCAGACCTGCTCCATCACTCCATTCATTAGGACTGGGTTTTTGAGTCTGGAAAGAGCTTTTAAGGTTTTCTGGGCCAGCCCATACTCATAAGACAAATCTAACATTTTGTCTTACTGTCCACAAATTCTGACAATCCCTTTGACTGGTGGATACAACAACACATCACAGACCTTCATAGAAGAACCTAGAGTTTCTCGTCAACTGAGCATACTATACAAATGAAAAGGTATGGCTACCTACACAGAAAATGGAAAGTGAGGAAGAAAGGAGAGAAAAATAATTTCTTTCACGAGTATTTGCCTAATGCACCCCAAAGGGGACCATGATTCCTACCGGCAACACTAAATTCCACCTGTCAGAGCATGAATTAAAAACGGAGCATGACCCACCTGAGGTAGCTTCTTATGAGCACAGTTCACTCCTCCAATTACAATGATGTTGGGCATCAAAGGTCTTGGATAATCTAACACAAAATCTAACCTCATGAGCCAAATGGAAGCCTGGCGTAAGAGATCTGTCACAGTCACATCTCGCTGGAGGAACTCAGAAGCCAGTTTTGCGTATGGTTGGAAGACAAAATCACAGAGAAAATAATTTGAGATGTCAAAGATCAGATTCTTCACCCGCTGGAAAAAGTTCATGTGGTCTGTAAGGTTTGTAAATATCCTGGGAACGTAAGAAGGGGGACTGGGACAATGAGTGGCTTCAAATTCTAAACCACATGGCATTACTCGCAAAAAAAACACAGAAGGGACTGAAAGATGCTCAGCCAGTATCTGCCCACAGGGTATTACAGGATCTGTAAGGACAACATCAAACTTGCTCTCCTCAAGATACCTGACAAGCTCTTTGTTGTACAGTAAGTGTGCACAGGTAGAGAGACTAATGGCAGAGATGTTTTTCAGTCTCCAGTATATTTTAAGAAATCTTTCCAGAAAAGATCCTTCTTCAAATACATCCTGTGAAAAAGAATGGATACTTCCATCCACCTCTTCCTTCGTGAAAGGTATTGGATACATTTTCATAATAAAATTCTCTGATGGTTTTATATGTATGTTTATTTCAGGTGCAACGACGACTATTTCATGTCCCTTCTGCCTTAGAGCATCCAACACTTCCTGCATGCTGAGCCAACGACTCCCATCCACTGGCACCACCAGCAGCTTCCCACCAGCAGCCAAACTGAGCATGGATAGGAGCAGAACCAGCGTCGCCTTGACTTGTGGATGAGCACTAAGTACTTGGGCCATGTCCACAGAAATCTGGTGAGTGCTACCCAGAAAGAGTACCCCCAGCTCCATGCTTTTAAGCAATCTGTGCTGTCGTTTTGCAGATGATCTTTAGACTTATTTGCTGTGTGGTAAATGTATAATCATGGATCTGGCAAAGATGGAATAAGGGGTGTTAAAGTTCAGCAGACTTGGCAGACTGTAGTCAGAGCAGCAGCTGGACTGGGAAACACCCTCCTCTTTGTATTGGAGGAACACTGGGCTTTAAGGAAACGAGGGATCCTTCAACAAGTGGTCTGCTCAAAAGTGACCATTAATAGATCATTAATTTTCCAAACAAGAATTTTCACTATAAGAAAATTCCTCCCCTGCTGCCAGTCCTAATCTTTTTCAATTTGTAAAAGATTAGAAAAATATTTATGCTTCATATAGGAAATGCTCTGGTTTCATCAGTTTTACATCTTGATGCTGTAATGAAAACAGAAAATTGGCTATCACAATTCATTTCCCTGAAAGGCCTGTTTTTGAAAGGATGAAGTAGGAGCTGGAAGGAGGAAGGACAAGTACATGCTTTTTGCCAGCTATAATTAAAACTGGATTAGCAACCCAGAAATACCATGTTCTGGATGAGAAGCATGCCCCAGGGCCATGAAAGCAAACAACACTAACGCAGAGACAGGATTTCCAGACAATCAGCTCTCAATTACGAAAATTATTGCACAGATGTAATTTTGACCATACAGTTATTTACTATGGAGGTTGATAGTAGGCATTAGAATTCTTTAAAGGACTTTTCCCGAACTACCGCATGTCTAGGTACACCCTTTGTAAAGAAACTTTTCAGCAGGCATCGTAAGCTGTTGCAGATGGCTCAGTGCTAGCTAGCAGCGATGAAAACCTCTAACAGTTTTGCAGAAAATTGCATGAGGAATCCATGCTGTGAAAGGATAAGCCTAGACTGAAGAAGCAACCAGAACACTACCTGCCAACTGATGTGTTATGACGCTTTATTTCTAAATTACAAAAGGATGTTTCTATTAACCAAAAAGATTCGTTAGTTTTAAAAATAAATTGTGACAGTAAAACAAACCGTTTTGGGTAATAACACCAATCTGGCAAACATAAGCAGCAAACCTGGCTGCTAAGAAGGGGATCACCCTCACTGGTGAGTGTGTGCCTCCTTAGCGAGAGTGTAGTAATAAATTACTTCCACCCAGCCCAAAGGAAACAATTGTGTCAGCAAAAATGCTTAGATCTTGCTAATACTGTAGAAGAGTAGCTGCAAGAGTGGGAGGGAATTAAAATCAACTCAGTTTCACTTATTTTCTTTGTCTTTACAGTATACCTTACTGCACATACAAATCCCCCAACTCATGTATACAAGTATATACACACACAGCATTTGCAAACAGCATCCTCCCTTCAAACATTAATATATTTTATCAAGAAAACCACTGACCTGAGATAATCGCTTTTTCTTTCCACAGTTTATACCTCTGATAAAAACTATGCTGGGCATCACTGGCATGGGATACTCAAAACCAAAATCCATTCTTTTAAGCCAAATGGATCCATGGCTTAAGAGCTCCTTCGTTGTTACTGGTCTGTGAAGAACATCCGAGGCCAGAAGTTCAAATGGCAAATAGGCAAAATTGCAAAGAAAGGATTCTGATGATTTTAGAAGTAAGTTTTCCACACATTGGATAAACGTCATATGGCCTGTGATCTGCGAAAGAACTCTGCAATCCAAGTTGATTGTGAAGCAGGTATGTTTATTACAGCTCTGCAGCGCTGGGTGCAGCGAGGGTCAGGTACCCTAAGGAGGTCATTGCGTCTTATTTAAAGCAACAAAACTTACATATTTACATATTTATCTCTCTGTCCCACTTGGGATGTAAGTTAGATCTCCTCCCCCTTGCGCAGGCGCAGTCTTCCCCTTCGGGGGTCTTTTGGTGGTCTTCGGGAGGAAGTAAGAGTTCCTCGATAGTCTTCATGATTGTCCTTTTGAACCCATCCTCCAGAGTTCGTAGTTCAGGGACAGCTGGGCAGTGTCTTCCCCCGCGACCACAGCTCAAGGCAACATCCCCCTCCATGGTCACGGCCTGTTGCACAAATACAATTCCTCCCCCATTGCCATCTTACCTAAAACAATGAAGCAGGCCTTCAAGTGATAAAGACCCTACTTAAGCCCTGCCAAGGGCAGGGGGTTACACTCTTGTTTACCAAAGACAAGGCTAGCTAGCTAATATTGCAGAGACTAAAGCATATCACATATTTCAAAAAGAATATTTTCAGATATTTTCTACTTTCCCCTATCATCTGAGTTGTCTGTAAATGTTCTTGGGACATAGGAAGGGGGGTCTGGACACTGGGTAGCCTGCAAACCAAAACTGCAGGGCAGTCCCCGTAAAAAGAAAACAGATGGGATAGAAAGACGCAGAGCCAATATTTGTCGACATGGTACAACAGGATCTGTGAGAACAGCATCAAATTTACTCCCTTCAAGTTATTGCATCAGATCCTTATTGTGCAGTAAACTGCTACAGGAGGAGACATAGAGATCAGAGATGATTTGAACTTTTTCATAAAGCCCCGTAATTCTCTGAAGAAAAGGTCGTCTCTCAAAAAGATCATTTGCAAATGAATGCATGCTTGCTCCCAGTTCTTCCCTAGTTAAAGGCACTGGATACGTTTTGAGAGTGTAATATTCAGACATTCAAGTTTACTTCTGGTGTGACAATGACAATTTCATGTTCTTTCTGGCTGAGGGCTTCCAGCAGTGAGCACATGCTGAGCCAGTGACTCCCATCCATTGGCTCCACCAATAGCTTTCCACCATCGGCCAAGCAAAACAGAGCCAGGAAAACCAAAACCCCCGCAGAAACTAAGTATTTACTTATGTGAGCCATGTTCCTAAAAATCCAAAATCTGCTCATCTGCCCTGACCTAAAAGATTTTAAGTAGACCCACAGCCCCCTGACAGATTCTCACATTCCCCCCTTAAGGATCCGGCTTTTCCAGCAAAACCAGTCACAAGCAACCATTCAAGGTGTTGATGAATCTTTTAAGGAATGTGATAAATCAACTTGGGCTGGGCAGAACTGGCTTTGGTATGGAGGCTCCTTTGGGATGAGTCCTTTCTGATTGATTGCCTGTGCTGATTGATAGATTGAAAATAAAACTAGACTTTGCAAAACCAAAATCCAAAGTCTTTGAATAGTAATGGCACTTGGAAGTAACTGGGCTTGCTGAAAGCAGGTATTAAAATGCTTTGCTTTCCTTCTTTATTTTTTTCTTTCTTTCTTTCTTTTTGATAAGCATTTTACAGCTGTTCTGAAATACTTGTCGAGTTTATGTTTAAAATTATAAATTTATGCCACTATACAGCACAATATCTGTCCAAATCCAAAGGAGGAGGCTCTGTGATTTACATACAGCTCAGCACTGGGGCCAGGTACAACATCAGGTACAAATTTATTACAAAAAGCAACACTGCAGCAAAGGCTTGCATCAGCAAAGGATAAACACTGAATCCGAGATGTTACACTTATCTCTCTGTGCCTCTCTTACTCACTTTCTTCTCCCAGGAGCAATAAGAAGGAAAAGTAACTCAGTTACCCTTGTACCTAATTAATTACAGGAAAACCTTGATAGGGTTATGACAGTGTCTTTACAAAAATATAGTACCATTTACTCAGGCTGGTACAAGATACCACAGACCTAAACAATGAATAGATGAGGAGGAGAGTGTTTTTGCAAGTACATGGCATTGTTTATCCAGAGGAGCCATGTGTTTATTAAGTAATCAGCAGATCTCGTAAAACAAAAGGTGCCATATATCTCACCAAATAGTGAATCTCAACAGAAACTAAGGACCAGACTACAAAGCTCTGTTAGATAAGCCAACTTGCAAGAGACAATCAGGAGAACTCACCAGACTACAAAGCTCTGTTAGATAAGACAACTTGCAAGAGAAAAATCATTTAAAAAAAAAAAAAATTCCTCGAAAATTTCAAGGGAAGTTTGAACTTTTCAACTTTAGGAAACAGTGCGCAGGCTTAATAGACTTATCAATATTAACTTCTCCGCCCAGGAGATGCATAATGACATGGTAACGAAACATACGATGCATGATGCAAAGGGGGTTACACGTTAAGGGGTAAAATTGTAGTATATGTAGTAGGCAGATCGAGAAGTCTATGCCTTCCTAGTACCTTAGCCAATGGGGAATGGGAGAGGGTCCTATGTGGCCGGAAAATTAGAATAAAAAGGGGGCTGCGACCCCAGCAACTTTGAGAGACCTCACGGGATATGCCCAGTGGACTCTCCCTTTATTCAAATAAAGTTTATTTTACAGGACTCCTCTGTCTCCTTTGTGAACACTGACCACTGGTGCCAGGATATTCCGCACAACCTGGACAGAAGTAGCCTGTAACAGTCCTCTTGTTTCAGGCCAGGAATTGATTTTGAATGGTAAGAGGTAGTGTTACTACTTCAGATTAAAAACTAGAAGTAAGATACCATGTCTGAGCAGTTAACAAGTACTTGTGATAAACTTGTCAACCCCCAGGGTTACATTTTGGTGTTAGATGGAACCGTGTGATGCAAACACACAGTTGGAAGACAACAAGAAGTCAGGACTGAAGAAACAGTACTTCTACAATAAATATTGCTGCTGGACTATGATCTTTAGCCCCTGAGAAAGATAAGAGTGAGAGTGACCTTTGCCTTCAGAAGAAAGTTTGATTTTAACCTGGAGCTGCCACATGGCCTTCCCTGGAGGCAGGATGCTGCTTACCCAGAGCATCTGCCTGGGTTTGTCCCTGGGGAGCCATTAAGCAGCTCTGATGGATGGAGTAGGTAGGGAAAAGCACTACCCTGATAAAAGTGGCCACATGGGGCAATTTGAAAGAGACTTTTGTGAAAAAGCAAGTTCTGAACACTAGCAGCTCAACAGAAATAAACAGTAGTTTCAATGGGCAGCATCAGGTGAAGTACCGGGAGGAGTAAAGCAAAGCCTGAGGGCAGTTAAGGTTGGCTGTGGGGAAGATGTGTCAGGCTTATAAAATGCAAATCTATTTTCTTGTGAAGCTTCACTCATTCATGTTCACAAAGGCCTACGAATGTAAGGGAAAAGCAGGAGTGGTAATAGGCCGGAGGAATCCATTCCATAAGACTCAGCGAAGGCTGACAAGTTAAATAAGTTCAAGGGAAGAATAGAGGAGAGTCTGTTTATTTTTAAGTAGCATTCGCAAAGGATAAAACTTTATCCTTTCTAGGAAACAACATGATTTATAGCTGAAACGGATGGATGGCACTAACTACAGAATCATCATCTGCTGAGGAGAGCTGTCTTCTCCTATCTTTCCTTTTCCAATTCATCTCTGGCTTCACATGAAGCTGTCCTACTCAGAGCACAAGCAAGCAAGAACATATATCACATGCACCAACAACCTAACGTACATCACACGCATGCCATTATTAAGTACTTTTGAGACCACAGATGCCCAAGCACCCACCCATTGTTTCCCTATCCAAACTGTATGTCTTCTAAGAATGCAGTTGAGAATTCAGCTATCTAGTTTTTGCGATGGAAGCTGTTGTTAGACCAAAATCTTCACCACAAAATACTAGCCTTCGACTCAAACACAAGACTGGTGTTACAGAAAAAAGCATGTGATGCTATTGCATATAACCCAGAGAGTTACTTTTCTAACTGGATAAGCAGGTAATGCTCTTGAAGAAATATTCTACTGCCTCTTATGAGAGGCAAAGAATTTTTGGAAGAGCCGTTACAATTCACTTGCCCATTTTGCATTAATTCCTGGGCAAGATGATGTTTGTGTACCTGACTTCAGCTGGAATTAAACACAGCACAGCATGTGATCCCCTCAACGAACAAAATCCCCGTGTTGGGCAGACCTAAGGAAAGGAGTTGGAATTACATCTTCTTGTCCTGGTCTGTTTTTCATGTGGATTGGCTATTCAGAATGTGTTAATCTAAATTATACCTTTAGGTAAGAAACGTCCATATCAAACACACTATTAGACCTCACCCAGGTCATGCAGGTGTATGACTGCCAGAATTTTTCCCCTGTTATAGCTTTCCCAGCCAGTCACTGACCTGAGATAATAGTTTCTTCTGTCCGCAGTTTATGCCTCCAATGAAAATCATATTGGGCATTACAGGTGAGGGATAGTCAAAGACAAAGTCAACTCTCTTCAGCCAAATGGATCCGTGACTTAAAAGCTGTGTAAGTGTCATTGGCTTTTGGAGATAATCTGAGGCCAGCCTTTCAAACGGTGCAAAGATCACACTGCAGGTGAAAGACTCTGAAATGCTGATCAGGAAGTTCTTCACTCTCTGAGGAAACGTCATATGATCTGTATTGAGTGACAACATTCGTGGGACATAGGATGGTGGGTCTGGACTCTGAGCAGCACGAATGTCTATAGCACATGGGACGCCCCGCAAGAAGAAAACAGAAGGGATAGAAAAGTGCAAAGCAACTATCTGTCCACAGGGTGTCAGAGGATCTGTAAAGACAGCATCAAATTTACTTTCTTCAATATATTTCATTATCTCTTTGTTGTACAGTAGGGAACTGCAGGAAGCTTGAAACATGGCAGAGGTCTTTCGGAAATTATCCCAAGTATTCAAAAATCTGATCAGGAAAGGCTCTTCGCTAAAAGTCTGTACACCTAATGTGCGGACAAGTTCTTCCATCTCTTCCTTTTTGAAAGGCACAGGATACGTTTTGAATTCATATATCCTGGAGGAATCTATCAACATTTTGCTGTCTGGTGCGATGACAACTATTTCGTGCGCTCTCTTGCTGAGCTCAGCAAGCACTTCCTTCATACTAAGCCAGTGGCTGCCCTCCATCGGGATCACCAGCAGTTTTCCAGCAGTGGCAGGACTCAGGCAGCACAAGAAGGGAAGCAGCACTGCCACCAGCATATTGTGAGCTGGGCAGACAGGAACCCAAGCATGGAAAGGTCAGGGGTGGTTTGGTTTGCGAGCTTTTGTAGTAATGCTCCACCTATGCAAACACACCACTTGGCAATGCTTTCTAACTACTTCTGTCCTTTTGACTTGCCCCACACTTCAGGTGTTCACAAGTTTGCACGCAATAGAGTCATGGTAGGTGATTCATGATGATAAAAGATTGAGATAAGTTTTGTACTTCAAACGCAGGCTTGTATGAGCACATGAAAGGTGTGTCTCCCATCATACACTTCACTTACCCAAGCTGAGACTATAGCTCAATGCCTCAGCCTTCTCTTCTTCTTCCCTAGTAGGACCTAGTAGAACCACAGCCTGATGACATTTCTTACCATCAACAACCCATCAACTTTTGCTGCCATTTTCTGACAACATGGTCTAAAGGTGCTTCAGAAACCATGAAAGAAATGTATACACAGAGTGGATGGACAGAGACACTGCTGACCCCACGTGGTAGTATTGGATCTATAAAAAGCACGGTAAAATGACACTTTTCTGTCTAGTGTTGGACACCTCTATGCCACTGAAGGCTGACAGAGCTGTCAGAGAGTGTAGTAATTCGGTATTTTTTTTAGAAGTATTTTCTTTTCTAATGAATCTGAGGAAATTGTACAGTGAAACGTAACTTTTAGTAAAGATAAATATAAGAAGTCAATGTTAAAGTACCTGGGCTTTGTTTTTTCCCTTTTTTTTAATAACCAAAACTGGTTGGTACAACTGAGAAAAATGAATTATTGTTTTCATTGATGCAAACATGCCTTTTTTGAAGATAAATAGCCAACAGAAAATCTTTCCCCATATCTACACATGACTTCCTTCTAACCTCTTATCCTATCAGTTATAAAACTAAGTTGCAAAACAGCAGGTCACTGTTGTACCTCAGATAACATAAACCAACACGTT